TATCATATCGCAATATAATTGCAAATGGAATTCATTGTTTAGCTTTATCCCCAGTGGAACAAGTCAGGATGAAATCTAAAAATATTTTATCAAGTGGTATGTATAAATTGTTCTCTTTTACACTGAAGACAGATGTAGTGTGTAGTCCACATATGCAGGGTAACCTTAAGATAACCTGCTCAAAGCAGTTTAGAGATGCAGTGTAGGGCATACCTAGGGTAAAACCTATCCACCTTTAGTCATACTGGCTAATAGGGAAGTTACACCCGACATCACAAACTTACTCCTGAAGGTACCTGGCTTAACCCCACATGTTATTTGTTGCCTTTAAATACATTTTCTAACAGATAAGTAAAAAAGATTTTTTGGGATTTTATATACATGACTCCACAAAATGTTTTTCAATGCACCCAGAAATATAGTCAGTGGTGGTGTCTATAATGTGAATGACTGATATTAAACGTGTGTATATAAATATTTATATGGAGAGTGATTTATAAATAAACTACAGAATACATTTATTAATCCTTCTGTGTGCATTCATTAATATCGAGACTAAAGTTATTACAAAGAAAGTGAGCTCTAACCTCTGTTCAAGAGGAGTTGGGATGAGAGGTGAAGCTTTACCTGCTACGGAACCAATATGGATCAGTCAAAGAACCTACTGATGTAGGGACTGTGAATAAGGGCATCACTGTCCTCACATTGCTGCTAGTTGTTGGGACTAACCTGTGCCTTGGATCTGAAAAACCCAAGAATCAAAAGTTAGTTTTGAGGTCTTCCAAATTGTAGTGCTGGATCTGGATCCTGGAGACCTTTCAAACTAAATTCAATGACTGAAAAATTACCTGTGTACCTAAGCTGCTGACTACTGTCTGGCAAGGTGCTCTTATAATGTGGCTGGTGGACTGTCTTAATGTTTACATAAGAGAACATTGGATTTTGGACTGGTATTCTGTTCAGTTGTGTAATTGTCACTTGGTGCATATTTGCCATATGAGTTCAGTTAAGCCAATTATTCTCATAGCATGGACAATTTATTTGATACACCTGAACAGTCTAATGTAATTCACAGCAACAGCTAAACTTCTACAAAGTGTACAGTGTTTTTGTGAAATTGTCAGAAATGTGTAAATAGGCCTCCAATTAAATGTTTGAGGTGATAGTTAGAAGTGGTGTTCTACTGATCTACATTATAGTGAGAGGTTTCTCTTCTCTTTTTTTGTCCTCCCTATTTACATCCATGAGGTGAGCATAATATTAGAAAAACCTCTGACTCTAATGTAGTCCAGTCCAACACCATCTCCAGCTATGACCTCAATGCTAAAACAATACCTCTGTGACACTAACAATCCATTACCATTAAATGCATCATAAAAGTAGACTTTATAGCAAAGCAGTAGATTGTTCGAGGTGTACCTAATAAATTGTCTATTTCTACAAGACTGCACGCGTCGTCTTCATCAGAGGCCACCATGTAACTACAGTAGCTCTGAAGGGACAAACCAAACAATGACTCTAGATAGGGCCTTCCCATTTTTCAGAAGTTTCACTGCCACCATAGTTTCTCCTGCACACTTGGCGCTACCTAGAGCCAGTCCTTGGTTTGTCCATTTTGCCCTACTGTAGAAACATGACTGTGTAGCGTGGCGGACTCCTGAGTAAGATGACCTTTGCCGTCTGTACACATAAAAAGGCTCATTATAGGTGATTATACACAAATTATGATATTCACAAGTATGTTTATTCTATTTCTGCTATATTTTGCAAAGTTAATTCAAAGGCCAATTGTTCTTGGTGCATTTTACCCATTTTTTTTTAGAGACAGTTTACTGTGTGCAGAGTTGAGCTTACTGTTTTTATAGTGTGATCATTGTTACGTATGTCATATGTTTGTAATTTATATTGTCTTTTTGTAAAGTAAACAGATTGGACAAATAAAGTTCTAATTAAAATGTGATGTGTTCAGTTGCTTTGTTTTTCTTGAAATATATTGTGTATGTACTCCTGGAGACAAAGGGTAAATATAGCTAAAAGAATTAAGTACATGTCACATATTTATTTTGATAATTTATAGTTAAATATAAATTGAATTCAGGATACTTACTCAAATCATTGAGTAAATGTTGTTGTTATATCTACTCAATTTTATTATGATTTATCTCAAAGGGTTTCTATTACATTGACTTAAGATTTTGATTAGATCTACTCAATTTTATCTGTCAGGATAATTAATTTAGTTATTCAGATCCACTTAATGTTTTTAACTTATATTTACTAAATTCGCAAGTTATATTTACTTGATTTCACAGCTTTTAAATTTACTCAATATTTTTAAGTGTAAAAATGTTTCACCAATAAAATTAAGTTTATCCCAGTAATAGGTTTTAGAGTGCATAAGGCGCCTTTAGTTTGTTTGACAGATACTTTGCCAAATCAATGGTGAAAAACAGTGACCTTTTATGAGAAGTTTGAGAATGTTTTTGCTTCATTAGGAAACTGGGGGAACAGATTATACTACGGCAAGCCGCACTGGACTGTATTACAAGTCATATCCCTATATTCAAACAGGTGGTAATTTTAATGTAATATCATAAGCGTCTGCCAACAGCGAAAGTGAAGTTGGTGAAGGAGTTGGTTAACTGGCTGAGAAGGTGGAGGTGTGCAGCCTGTCGTATGCAGCTCTTTATGCTCCTGACTGTTGCATTACTCACTGCAATATGTCAAACTGGTCCGCTGTCAGAAAACTGTTAAAAATGACGGTTGTCTTGTCGTGTAGACCACTACAATGCGTCTACACGACAAGACAACCGTCAGCGGTCAGTGCTGATCTCACTTACAAACATTGCATTTCCTGTGACTGCTTCAAAATAAGTCAAGTTGTGTTTCACCAGTTAAATGCTTTTATTGTGAAGCTGCAGCAGCAGGAAATGTTCAGTTTGCATTAGCAGTAATGCAGGAGTACTCTGCATTAGATTAGTCAAAAATCTGAAGTATAAATTGAGAGGCAAGTTTCATAGGAACACTGTAACATGTAAGACAATATCAGTGTTGAATGAGAGTTCGTAATCAAGCCATACACCGAGATATTTCATATTATCAACTTTATTTAGAGGAGGGCCGACAGTATAGGTTATTAGTCAAGGAGCGGGTTTGGATTTGAGTTTCTGTCTGGTACAAAAATCAAAAGATATGACTTTGTTTTGTTGACTACATGAGGAGTCGAGACGACAGGTATTTAACAAAATGTGACATCCTTGCTTCGGTGCTGTCATTTTAAAGCAACGTCTATTAAATATGATATGGCACAGCTGCATCATCTGTCCATTGTTTTGTTATAGCCTCTCTGTCAGATGAAAATACCAAAACATAAAGGCTATAGATCATATCTTCACAATCCAGAAGAATGTCTGTCAACCCTATGACATGCAGAAACATCGAGTTTGCATTAAACGTTATAACATATTGAAAGCAACAACACTCAGATTATACACTGGTCATAAAAATAAAGGGAACACTAAAATAACACATCCTAGATCTGAATGAATGAAATAATCTCATTAAATACTCATTTCCTTACATAGTTGAATGTGTGCAAATTTATCAACCCATGGAGGTCTGGATTTGGAGTCACACTCAAAATCAAAGTGGAAAACCACACTACAGGCCGATCCAACTTTGATGTAATGTCCTTAAAACAAGTCAAAATGAGGCTCAGTAGTGTGTGTCGCCTCCACGTGCCTGTATGACTTCCCTACAACGCCTGGGCATGCTCCTGATGAGGTGGCGGATGGTCTCCTGAGGGATCTCCTCCCAGACCTGGACTAAAGCATCCGCCAACTCCTGGACAGTCTGTGGTGCAACGTGGCGTTGGTGGATAGAGCGAGACATGATATCCCAGATGTGCTCAATTGGATTCAGGTCTGGGGAACGGGCGGGCCAGTCCATAGCATCAATGCCTTCCTCTTGCAGGAAATGCTGACACACTCCAGCCACATGAGGTCTAGCATTGTCTTGCATTAGGAGGAACCCAGGGCCAACTGCACCAGCATATGGTCTCACAAGGGGTCTGAGGATCTCATCTCGGTACCTAATGGCAGTCAGGCTACCTCTGGCGAGCACATGGAGGGCTGTGCGGCCCCCCAAAGAAATGCCACCCCACACCATTACTGACCCACCGCCAAACCGGTCATGCTGGAGGATGTTGCAGGCAGCAGAACGTTCTCCACGGCGTCTCCAGACTCTGTCACGTGTGCTCAGTGTGAACCTGCTTTCATCTGTGAAGAGCACAGGGCGCCAGTGGCGAATTTGCCAATCTTGGTGTTCTCTGGCAAATGCCAAACGTCCTGCACGCTGTTGGGCTGTAAGCACAACCCCCACCTGTGGACGCCGGGCCCTCATACCACCCTCATGGAGTCTGTTTCTGACCGTTTGAGCAGACACATGCACATTTGTGGCCTGCTGGAGGTCATTTTGCAGGGCTCTGGCAGTGCTCCTCCTGCTCCTCCTTGCACAAAGCGGAGGTAGCGGTGCTGCTGCTGGGTTGTTGCCCTCCTACGGCCTCCTCCACGTCTCCTGATGTACTGGTCTGTCTCCTGGTAGCGCCTCCATGATCTGGACACTACGCTGACAGACACAGCAAACCTTCTTGCCACAGCTCGCATTGATGTGCCATCCTGGATGAGCTGCACTACCTGAGCCACTTGTGTGGGTTGTAGACTCCGTCTCATGCTACCACTAGAGTGAAAGCACCGCCAGCATTCAAAAGTGACCAAAACATCAGCCAGGAAGCATAGGAACTGAGAAGTGGTCTGTGGTCACCACCTGCAGAACCACTCCTTTATTGGGGGTGTCTTGCTAATTGCCTATAATTTCCACCTGTTGTCTATTCCATTTGCACAACAGCATGTGAAACTGATTGTCAATCAGTGTTGCTTCCTAAGTGGAGGGTTTGAAGTGTTCCTTTTATTTTTTTGAGCAGTGTAGTTTCATGCACTACATAGAAGTTCATTAATTCACTCCCAGGCTTTTTTTTGTGCTGTGTCTTTTGCCTGTCAACAGGAGATCCTTTTCATCCCTCAACTTGATGAGGTGAGTGTTTCATCATGAGTGTAAGAAATAATAGTAAAATCTATCTCAAATGTTGCCTAAAACTTCAATTGTAACTGTTGTCACAGGACTATACTTTTAGAATTACATTTGCAGACTACAAAATGGGCACTCTTATTACGACAACCTCAAATTATTGACATGAAATAAATATGAAATAATTTGACGTTAGAAACTGTTTGCGCATGTAGTGCCACAATTATAGCAGCTGAATTGGTGTGATGCGTGGATCGGCACTGGCATCATCTGAATCCGTATGTACACATAAGTCATCCACCCCAACAAATTATTTTCTTTTAGATTAAGAACCCCACGCCCACATGGACATTTCACTTCACCTCTACTGGGCCGGTAGCTTCCCATGTGATCCTTTTGTTGTATTGATGTATGAGTGTTTTCTTTAATGATTTGCTTTAATAAATAGAGAGGCGCAGTAATGTCACAGAAAATATTGTGGGGCATTTAAAGGTGCCGTAGAATGGAAAACTTTCCTTTGGCATAGTTGGATAAAAAGAGTTCAGTGCATCTAACTGATATACCATGAGCCTCAGTCTCCATTGTTTCTTCCTTCATATGTAAATCTTGCGCACCCAAAATACCCCCAAAAAATGGGCTACTGCCAGCAAGCGCTAGATGTTATGTAACATGTGATGGGATGTTTATGCCCCCAAAGATACAAAGACCAGCCTATGTTCCAGAGAAGCGGCCATACGAGCTCATAGAGGCACAGCTGGAGGTTGTGCAGTGTGTCTCACAGAAAGTGATTTTACGGTTATGAAGGGAAGGTAAATATTTTATGGTTTTGTCATGGTTTTGCTCTGCCTCGGCTTTGTGATTTATTAAGTTTCCTGATAGACAGATAGCTTGTTGCTAAGGCTACAGGTTGCTAACCGCTAGCTGTTGCTAATAGCAGCTCCTGCTATCAGCTGGCTCTGAATCAGTCCAAATCTTCTGTTGTAATATCAGAGGTGTAAACATAAACACAAACCCAGAGCATCAAGCTTCCACTCCGGGCAGAATCAGAAATAGGACAGCTAGCTGCACAGCTAACTGAATAGCTTATTAAGTAGCTGCCGATAGCAGTAACTAGCTGCTAAAGAAATCAGTAACATATAAACTCCGTAAAGTGGAGGCAGAGCAGCCGGAGGACATCAGAGGGATAACCGGACAATATGTCTCCATTAAACATTAAAGCATGTGAACATTTTCTAGTAGAAACCCTAAATCCAAGTATTATGTATTCCCTTAAAATGAGCATTCTACGGCACCTTTAAGCAGTCAAACTAAAAATTGTAGTTATAAACTTGACAGGACGGACAGAGGAAACTCTACATAGGAAACAGAAATGAACATTTAGCTTCCGAAATAAACGTTTTTAGACATGTCTGATGAAGCACAGGATTTATAAGGAGGACGGCTGCTTTACTCCAATTAATTTCAATGTATGAACCTGGACAGTGTGTAAGACCTTTTGAATGTGTAGAAGAACACAGAACATTAATTAACATTAGATCCTGACCAATCCTGTCGGCATTAATTAAGTCATGCTGCTGTGCCGTAAACATGCACACCAGCTCTTTTAAGGGGGAGATACTTCAACCTATTTCACCTACCAGCTATTAATCAGAATGTTCATTTTTATGAACCAGCCCGCCCTTCAATGCATCACAAGCCTATATTCAACAATAAAAACATCAGTTATATCATTAACATGTCATTAAGGAATGGAATCAAGCGGGAGAGGAGTGAGCTTCAAGCAAGTTCATTTGTAAGTAACTTCATACATCATCCATCGTGTTGATAAATCCACGAGTATTTGTTTTTGTGTTATGAACAACAAGACTTGTGTGATGTTATACTGTATTGAAATAATGTAACAAAATGTTCATTCCTCTTACTGGTTGTTCTGACACAGTCAAAATTATTTCTGCTTGTCGTTAACAGGCGGCTCGCTGCATGCGTGGGTTTGTAAAATATATATTTTATTTATTTATGAAGGAACATGGTTTTGTATTTCTATGTAATGTAGCACAGTTTAACAATGTTAAAAAATCCTTCTCTGCTCCGGAACTCAGAACATGGTGCCCCAAAATATCTATTCAAATAATTAAATTAATATCATAAATGTGCGAAAACTAGTTGACTAATGGCTTAAAGTAAAGACTATCGTCGACTTGGAAATTCTTTATTTGGAGGCAGCCTTAAATTTCATTTGACAGATGCTTTTTCTTAAGAGATGTACCTCCACAGGAACAACAGCTAGATTTCATCAAAATATAAAATGAATGAACAACACTCTTGCATGCAAAATCCAACACAAATTTGAATGTCAAAATGACCAAAAACCAGAGGAGCCTCCATTTATTGTGTAAACCATTATACAGTTTCACATTGAGAGGCGAGGGGAGGGCTGAGCACGGCTTTTCTGGCTGTAAGCCTCCCTGTATATGAGGCTTGTTTTTCATTGACTGTGTCAGGAATCAAGAGGGCTAATCCCTCAGAGACTTCAGATGAAAGTTTCAAAAGAAATAATGAAAGGCATACTGCCTGAGGGTGCATATTGGGGTGAACGTACAGCAAGCTGGAGAGAACAGCAGCGGCGCACGACAAGCAGCAAAGGAAGAACATAACAGCTTCCCTTGCTGCCACCCCCACCAGTCTAACTATAAATCACATATTCTGTCTCCAAGACATAAACAAATACGCAGCAGAGCACATCAGAAACTTGGCACAGCATGAATACTTATAAAACGTAACATTTTGCAGCTTGTACTTTTAACATATCTGAATGATCCGTAAAAATGACTAGAGACTTTATAAAAGGGAACAAGAGAACAGTTTTTTTTCCTATTGGCTTTGTATCAAAATGTCTTCTTCCAGTATTGAGAAATCTTCCAATATGAAGAATTTGCAGATTTTATGACTAAGATTGATACATGTAATTACAAGGATGTGCTCTATATGATACAAAGCCATTGAATCAGATTTGGCAACAATGTTTGGAAAAGGCCTTCTCTGTGTGTTTGTGTGTGGTTTTGTGTGAGTGTGTGTGTGTGTGTGTGTGTGTGTGTGTTTGTCTGTGTGTTGGCATTTTTTTTCTGCGCCTGTGTGGGTGCATGGGTGAGTGCCATGTGGAATCTGTCCACATTGTTAGGTAGGTTGGTTTTATACTTTGGGAAAAATATAACTATGTACAGAAACATAACAACCTGGTATATAATTTGGCTATTAAAAAAATACTCTTTCTATTAAATTAATCAATAAATGAATGTAAATATGTGGATCTGCTGGACAAATCTCCTTTTCTCACACCTTACACCAGTATGTCTGTGTCACTGTTACACCTGTTAGCCTGTTACACTGTGCCACTCTTTGGTAATAAACACCATCTGTAGACTTGCAACAGGCCACAGTCATTTGGGCTGCAGAATGGCTGCATGTACTTCTTCACTAAACTGACCCTTGTTTCATTTTTAGTTTGGAATTCCAACAAATGGGAATGACACCATATGTTTCTAGCATTTCTTCAAGTAGGAAGATAAAATAGCTCATGAAGAGATGAGTCAGTGTCTGACGTTAATTTAGCCTCACAATTACTTCCAGTTGGTTTTTATGATGTTTTTCCAAAGAAATCATTTTCCTGCCCTCAACTCCTGCAGCAGATGAGACATGTATACTCTGACCTGGGGGCTTGAGCTGCATAGAGTGTGCACCATACCTCTGAAGTGACCAAATTAGAATGCCACACTGTTCACGAAACATGTGCAGTGAATGGAGAACACTCCTAATAATGCTGGCAGAGAAATGCATCTGCATTCTGCTGGTGTGCATATGTAAATGTCTTTTTCCCCTCTCTACATAGTGATGATTTGTAGGTAGGGCCAGGCAACTTGGCCAATAACCCTTGCAATTATTAATGTGCAAATAAGATTTTTTGAAATATGCCGTTATGTCAAATTTCTTTATACAGTGAGACCAGGGTGGTTGTTCATAATGGTTGGTGTAACTGCTGCCAGCCACAGTCAGAGCAGGAAAATCACCAGTTTCATAGAAGCTTATTAACACATCCATTCAGCTTGGTTTACATTACTGTGTCCACAATAATTGTAAAAAAATTTAACGAGGCATAATACCTCTCCCTAGTTATATTGTGGCTCCCAGTTGCAACCACTTTCAACTTATATTTCTGTTTTTATGGCAGCAGAGATAAACACTGTGCATTCTGCTTACTCCATATAATTTACCTTCTAGCCCAGTATTCAGCAGCCAGCTTGTAAAGTACACTGGTAATATGCTTTCTGCTGGGAACAGGTGCAGTGTAAATGGTCAAATAAGCTGCTTCCAATTAAATGCTTCTATAATACCATGCTGGATAACTTTTATGAACACTCATTCCCTAAAATGGAATTTATTTTGGAAAGCGATTTTGGTGTAAGGACTCTTAAGAATGATCATTTTCTTAACTGCCTAGCACCATGCTGGTTTCTGGTTTAGCACCCAGCTAGTTAGAATACACAGTAGATATATACAGTAAGAGGGTGTTTTTAGATAGTATACATGTTTTGCCGGCACCTCTAATAAAACAAATTAAAGCTATGACGGCACGGTGGTGCAGTGGTTAACGGTTAGTTATGTGTATGTGACAATAAAGTACATTTACATTTTAAGTTTCTTTAAAGATATTTTGAGAAATACATCTCAACCGCTATTAGATGGATTTCAATTAAATTCACTTCAGATATTCAGGAGTCCAGACGATTAATCCCAATGACGACGGTGATCCACTAACTTTTCTGTTTGCGCCATCAGTCGATGTTTTTACTTATTCAATTAAAGATCTCTACATGTTATTGATGGATTGGTACGTTTACGACAGACATTCGTTGTTGCCAGACAATAGATCCTAATGACTATGGTGGTCTTCTTTTGCTCTAGCACCACCATAAGGTTGACTTGGTTGGCCATCCAATTATTGGATCCAGCTACTTGAAGAACAAAATAATTTGTACAGACATTTATTTTCCCCACATGGATGAATTGTAATTACTTTGGTCATTTCCTGTTTTTTCATCTAACACCTTGATCTGGTGAAAATTTGGGATTATGGCTAAAAAGACTTGCTGCAAGCTATAAGTGGTGTTTAGTGTTTTATAACAGCATGTTAGCATGCTGATGTTAGTATTTAGCTCAAAGCACTGCTGTATTCCATGAAAGTGGCTGGAATGCTTTTCAGATAAAGTATTGGTAAACTATAAGAAAGCATAACACACATCATAAAATTAATAATAATATACTGATAATTCACAGTTTAAGGTCTGTTTAGATTGTTGAATGGTAAATTTCACACAAATGACATATCTCCTGAGGGAATCTTTGTCGGCATGACAGTGCTTTCTGAACGATGGAGCTGCATTTTCCTGCACAGAAAGAATAGTGGAGGCAGCTGTCTCTGATTCTCCACCTGATTTACCAATAACTGACATGCAGAGCGGGTTTCCACAATTGTTCTGCTCTACTGGGCTGGGATTTAGTTTCACACATTGCATCAGATGACAGGAAAACAAGAGGGTCAGTGTTTATTGCCGGCATCAGAGAGAATTCAGATTCAAGCTTCCCCTTGGGTTCTCCCATCCTCAACCTGAATCTCATCTTCCTCAACGCCCCCTCTGCCCTTCCACTGCCATATTTCCATGAAATACAGTGTTGTTGAGCATGAAATACCTAGCGTTAAGAGATACTTTCGCTGCGATTACTCCCCGCTGTGTTTACATCTGGCCCACCTCAAACTGCATGTTAATTAAGGTTGAAAGTGAACACCTCTGTGCTGATGACTGATGGATAAGACTGTGTCATAGCAAAACCGTCCCAAAAGTATCAAATCAGCCAATAGTTCCTAAACCCTATTCTAATTCATTAGCTTTACACTGTGTCTGACATGTTCTTTTTTTTCCTGACATACCTTTTAAAGCTTTGAACCACATGAGTTTTAAACCTTATGTCTTAATCACACTGTTGCCATTTGAAATCCTGTGTCCTTTCTTTCATATAATTTAGGGGCTTTAAATTGTTGAATGTGTCATTAGAAGTTTTAAAATGCACATGGCTGTTCCTGTTCCATATAAGTTATATTTCTTTAATGTGTGTTGGGAGGACTGTGAGAAAAGAATGTTATGTTTCTTCCTGTGAACAAGCATAGAGTAATTTAAAGGATTTATTATAGGCAAAGGGAACATTTGTCCAGACGTGAGATTCAGGATATACTGTACCTCTCCATTCAAAGAAGACCAGAGGGTAAATGTTCACATGGACAAGAAATGTGGTCCTGCTCGCTGGAGTTTGATAACACCCAGACAGAGGTTAAGTTTATCCACTATGTCGAGAGATAAAGATTCTGGTTTGGTTTTTCCATTTCTTCCAGTTCTTATCACTTAAGTGTGACATGGTGGAAGAAAAACAGACAGCTAAAGTTGTCAGAACAGCAGTCTAAAGGCAGCTCAGTTGTGATTACGTGTTCTATTAGTTAATATTATACTACAGATGCATTGAGTTACTATTTTGAAACATAAAAAATACAGGAGTATCATATTAAAATGTTTAAGAAAATCTAATAAGTGCTATTAGATTTTGGTCATTTTGGGCAACACATTTTTTTCATTTTATTATGCCTGTGTGCCGACAACAGCCATGGCTGGAGGCATTATGTTTTCAGGCTGTCTGTCAGTCTGTATGTTTGTCCCATTTTTGTGACTGCGATATCTCAGGAATGCCTTGAGGGAATTTCTCCAAATTTGGCACAAATGTCCACTTGGACTCAAGGATGAATTCATTAGAATTGGGTGGTCAGGGGCTTGGTTAGCTCAGTTGGTAGAGAATGTGTTGCATTGTCCATGGCTCAGTCCTTACTCTAGCGGCCTGGGTTCAAATCCATCCTGTGACCCTTTGCTGCTTGTTGCTCCCTATCTTTCTTCCTCATTTCCACGTATATCCACTGTCC